GGAGACATTTCAGGATCCAGCCTCACCCTTCCCATTGGATCCAGAGGAGACATTTCAGGATCCAGCCTCACCCTTCCCATTGGATCCAGAGGAGACATTTCAGGATCCAGCCTCACCCTTCCCATTGGATCCAGAGGAGACATTTCAGGATCCAGCCTCACCCTTCCCATTGGATATAGAGGAGACATTCCAGGATCCAGCCTCACCCTTCCCATTGGATCCAGAGATATTTCAGGATCCAGCCTCACACTTCCCATTGGGTCCAGAGACATTTCAGGATCAGCAAGTTTTAGTGGGAAAGGGGCAATTTTTCACGGGAAGGGGAGGTTGTACATAAGGAATATTCTGCAGGGAATGGAGTGCTGGTGCACACACAGTTTTCCATGGATCAGTATTCCATGGATCCATACATACCCACAGCAAACACCGTCACCCCCAGATCCTGCAGGGCCTGGGCTTCGGCTTCCACGGAATCGCTGGATTTCCCATCCGTGATCAAAACAACCACCTGTGGGAATAGGGGGAGGACAAACCAGGGAAGGCAAGGGAAACATGAGGAATTCCTGAGAATTTCCCACTGGGAGCCAGGCTTTGGATGGAATTCCTGTCCTGAGATTAAATCCTGAGAGGACCCAACACCTCCAGGGTAATTCCCAGGGAATCGGATTCCAGGAGCTCTGCCTGTGTCCCAGCACTGCATTCCAGGCATTTCAGGATCCAGCCTCACCCTTCCCACTGGATCCAGAGGAGACAGTTCAGGATCCAGCTGAAACTATGTCCAACTCAGAAATCCAACTCAGTGATCCCAGACCTTCCACTACTTCCAGCTCAGCCTTCCCAGACCTTCCACTACTTCCAGCTCAGCCTTCCCAGACCTTCCACTACTTCCAGCTCAGCCTTCCCAGACCTTCCACTACTTCCAGCTCAGCCTTCCCAGACCTTCCACTACTTCCAGCTCAGCCTTCCCAGACCTTCCACTACTTCCAGCTCAGCCTTCCCAGACCTTCCACTACTTCCAGCTCAGCCTTCCCAGACCTTCCAATACTTCCAGCTCAGCCTTCCCAGACCTTCCAATACTTCCAGCTCAGCCTTCCCAGACCTTCCAATACTTCCAGCTCAGCCTTCCCAGACCTTCCAATACTTCCAGCTCAGCCTTCCCAGACCTTCCACTACTTCCAGTTCAGCATTCCCAGACCTTCCACTACTTCCAGTTCAGCATTCCCAGACTTTAAACAACTTCCAGGTCCGGGACGCCAAACAGGCCACAGGCCTTGGGATAACGGAGCTGGAGGTGTGATGCCTGCCCCCCCCACCCAGCCGGAATTCCCAGGGATATCCCACCTTTGCCGCCTCCTCTCTCCGCGTGTCCGGCCGGGACAGGATCCGGGTGGCAAAGGCCAGGGCTGTTCCCGTCCTCAGGCTGCTGCCTCCCAGGGATGGATCCAGAATTCCAGCCAGCTTTTCCCTGACGGTCGCAGGGTCTGTGAGCTCGATGCTCATCCTGGGAATGAGGAATGGCGGGATAAGGAGCGAGGAAACGCAGCGAGGATAAGGAATAAGGGAATGAGCAGCGATAACGTGGATCTTTAGTTGGCGTTTTCCCAGAGAAGCTGTGGCTGCCCCTGGATCCCTGGAAGTGTCCAAGGTCGGGTTGGAGCAACCTGGGATAGTGGGAGGTGTCCCTGGGGTTGGAACTGGATGGGCTTTAAAGTCCCTTCCAACCCAAACCATTCCAGGATTTTCAGAAATGAGGGGGTTTAGGATCCATCCCCTGTGCTTCCAGGTCTCTCTCCAGCATAACCATTCCCAGACAAGGGAAACGCTGGATCCAGGAAGGAAAACAAAGCTCTGGATGCTCCTGGCACAGCCTACCCCCAAATTCCAGTTCCAAATGGGGCCACAGAGTCCTTGGAGCCCCTTGCAGGGCCTAAAGGGGCTCCAGGAGAGCTGGAGAGGGACTGGGGACAAGGCCTGGAGGGACAGGACACAGGGAATGGCTTCCCACTGCCAGAGGGCAGGGTTAGATGGGATATTGGGAAGGAATTCCTGCTGGGAGGGTGGGGAGGGGCTGGAATGGATTTCCCAGAGAAGTTGTGGCTGCCCCTGGATTCCTGGAAGTGTCCAAGGCCGGGTTGGAGCAACCTGGGATAGTGGGAGGTGTTGGGGTTGGAAGTGGATGAGCTTTAACATCCCTTCCAACCCCAACCCTGCCGTGATTCCAGGATCCCATTCCCCTCTCCACGCCAGGGAGCGCAGGGAATGAGCCCCAGAGCCCCGTGATCCTAAAACCCCAATATGACCAAAACCAGGAATCCCAAATTTGGGGACTGGGGAACTTCTTGGAGCCGGGATGGACTCCATCCTTCCTGGCCTCCAGAGCTTCCCGGGAGAGGCGAGCACCTCGAGAGGATGGGGATGGGTCAGCTCTGGAGCCGTGGAGACATGGTTGGACATCTGGACTTACAGGGCTGTAGGAACCCCACAGGAGCTGGTGATGGTGGAGGAAGGATGGACCCACCTTGGTTTATCCCCATGGCCAAGCACCTCGAGGTGCTGGTGGTGCTGAGGGTTGAACCCTCAGCTCAGGAGGTTGAACCCTTGCTCAGGAACTCAACCATGGGGTCATGGTTGCCCATCTTGAGTTACAGGGCTGTAGGAACCCTACAGGAGCTGGAAGGGGAGACAGGACTGACCCACCTTGGCTCCTCCACATGACCAAGCACCTCGAGGTGCTGGTGGTTGAATCCTTGCTCAGGAACTCAACCATGGGGACATTGTTGCCCATCTTGAGTTATGGGGCTGCAGGAACCCTACAGGAGCTGCTGGAGGTGGAGGAAGGATGGACCCACCTTGGTTTATCCCCATGGCCAAGCACCTCAAGGTGCTGGTGGTTTTGAGGGTTGAACTCTTGAGCCATGGGGACATTTTTGCCCATTTTGAGTTATGGGGCTGTAGGAAACCTACAGGAGCTGGTGATGGTGGAGACAGGACTGGCCCTCCTTGGTTCCTCCCCGTGGCCAAGAACCTGTAGGGTCAGAGGGCTGAACTCTTGACCCGTGGGGACGTGGTTGCTCACATGAGGTTATAGGGTTGCAGGAACCCTACAGGAGCTGCTGGAGGGGGAGGAAGAACTGACCCTCTTTGGTTCTTCACCATTGCCAGCACTTGTAGGGTCAGAGAGTTGAACTCTTGACCCATGGGGACATGGTTGCCCACATGAGGTTCCAGGGCTGTAGGAACCCCACAGGAGCTGCTGGAAGGGAAGGAAGGATGGACCCACCTCGGTTCCTCCCTGTGACCAAGCACCTCGAGGTGCTGGTGGTTGAATCCTACTCATAAACTCAACCCTTGCTCCAGAACTCAAGCCATGGTTGGCCCTAGAGGGTTCCAGGGCTGTAGGAACCCCACAGGAGCTGCTGGAGGGGGAGGAAGGATGGACCCACCTTGGTTCCTCCCCATGGCCAAGCACCTCGAGGTGCTGGTGACATTGGTGAGGGTTCAACTCTTGAACCACGGGGACATGGTTGGCCATCTGGACCTATAGGACTGTAGGAATCCTACAGGAGTTGCTGGAGGTGGAGACAGGACTGACCCAGCTTGGTTCCTCTCTGTGGCCAAGCACCTCAAGGTGCTGGTGGTGCTGAGGGTTGAACCCTCAGCTCAAGAGGTTGAACCCTTGCTCAGGAACTCAACCATGGGGTCATGGTTGGCCACAGAGGGTTCCAGCGCTGTAGGAACCCCACAGGAGTTGCTGGAAGGGAAGGAAGGATGGACCCACCTTGGTTCCTCCCCCAGGCCAAGCACCTCGAGGTGCTGGTGGTTGAACCCTTGCTCAGGAACTCAACCCTTGCTCCAGAACTCAAGCCATGGTTGCCCCCAGAGGGTTCCAGGGATGTAGGAACCCCACTGGAGCTGCTGGAAGGGGAGGAAGGACGGACCCACCTTGGTTCCTCCCCGTAGAGCGCCACTCCCAGCCGGATCCCTCCTTTCCCCATTCCCGGGTTCTCCAAGGAACGCGCCGTGCTGCCGACGAAGTCCCGGAGCAGCCGGGAGCTCTCCCTGCCCTCGCCCTGGGATTGTCCCACGAGGAACAGAACGTCGGCCAGCTCTGCTGTCCTGCAGGCTGAGAGGGAGGAGAGGGGCAGGGGGGTTCATCCCACCCCTTGGAATGAGCCCGGGAGCAGGGAAACCCCCCCGGAGACCCGCGAGCCCCCGGGATTCCACAGCGAGGGAAGAGAGGCAGAGGTGGGATAAAGTGGATAATCAGGAGCTTCCCATAGCAACAGGATCCATTTCCTCCTAATTCCTCCTTTTCATGTTCTCACCCAGGAAAATTTTCCCATCCAAAGATGCCTCTGGATCCCTGGAATTGTCCAAGGTCAAGTTGGATGGGGCTTGTGGGTAATCAAGGGCTTCCCAGAGTGACAGGATTTGTTGTCCTTAATTTCCTCCTAATTCCTCATTTCCATGTTCTCATCCAGGCAAAGTTTCCCACCTGAGATGCCCCTGAATCCCCGGAATTGTCCAAGACCAAGTTGGATGGGGCTCGTAAGTAATCAGGGGTTTCCCAGAGCAACAGGATTCATTTCCCTCTAATTCCTCATTTTCATGTTCTCACCCAGGAAAATTTTCCCATCCAAAGATGCCCCTGGATCCCTGGAATTGTCCCAGGTCAGGTTGGATGGGGCTTGTGGGTAATCAGGAGCTTCCCAGAGCAACAGGATTTGTTGTCCTTAATTTCCCCCTAATTCCTCATTTCCATGTTCTCATCCAGGCAAAGTTTCCCACCTGAGATGCCCCTGAATCCCCGGAATTGTCCAAGACCAGGTTGGATGGGGCTTGTGAGTAATCAGGAGCTTCCCAGAGCAACAGGATTCATTTCCCCCTAATTCCTCATTTTCATGTTCTCACCCAGGCAAAGTTTCCCATCTGAGATGCCCCTGGATCCCTGGAATTGTCCCAGGTCAGGTTGGATGGGGCTTGTGAGCAATCAGGAGCTTCCCAGAGCAACAGAATTTGTTGTCCTTAATTTCCCCCTAATTCCTCGTTTTCCTGCATCCATGCCAGGAGCAGGATCAGAGGCAGGAAAAGGAGCAGAGCCCTGATTTCCCAGAAATCCTAATCCCTGCCTTTTGGGACCAGTTCAGGTGCTCTGTTATCCACATAATCCCAACTAAAAGGATCCTATGGAAAAGTCAAAGGGAGCAGCACTGCAGCTCCCCCTGGGATCACCCATGGGTGTATCCATGGGTGCATCCATGCCAGGAGCAGGAGCAGAGGTGGGAAAAGGAGCAGAGCCCTGATTTCCCAGAAATCCTAATCCCTGCTTTTTGGGACCAGCTCGGGTGCTCCGTTATCCACATAATCCCAATTAAATGGATCCTATGGAAAAGTCAAAGGGAGCAGCACTGCAGCTCCATCCTGGGATCATCCATGGCTGTATCCATGCCAGGAGCAGGAGCAGAGGCGGGAAAAGGAGCAGAGCCCTGATTTCCCAGAAATCCTAATCCCTGCCTTTTGGGACCAGCTCAGGTGTTCCGTTATCCACATAATCCCAACTAAAAGGATCCTGTGGAAAAGGATCCATGGGTGTATCCATGGGTGCATCCATGCCAGGAGCAGGAGCAGAGGCGGGAAAAGGAGCAGAGCCCTGATTTCCCAGAAATCCTAATCCCTGCCTTTTGGGACCAGCTCAGGTGCTCCGTTATCCACATAATCCCAACTAAAAGGATCCTGTGGAAAAGTCAAAGGGAGCAGCACTGCAGCTCCACCCTGGGATCATCCATGGGTGTATCCATGGCATGAAATCCTTGGAAAAGGCCTTTTCCTCCCTGATGTGTCCCATCACCCCCCCCAAGGTGCTGCATTCCCACTTTTCCAGACCTTCATGGGCAGCCCCAGCTCCGTAGGACACCCCAGCCAGGGCCAGCGCCAGGATCCGGGCACACAGCAACATTTCCCTTGGGAAGAAGCTCCTTCTGGATTCCTGGGATCAGCCCAGAGCCTGGGAAGTTGTTCATCTGCGGGGAAAAAAAGAGGATTTAGCTCCAGGTTTGGAGTGGGAAGAGGAGCTTTTCCCCAGCTCATCTTGGTTTAAAAAATGGGCATTGAAGTCCATAAATCCCGGAATTCCTTCCTCTTTGCCCATCCTGGGGAATGCTCAGCTTTGCTCCCTCAGAACTTTAAAAAAACCAGAAAATTAAAACAGAAAATTAAAACAGAAAATTAAAACAGAAAATTAAAACAGAAAATTAAAACAGAAAATTAAAACAGAAAATTAAAACAGAAAATTAAAACAGAAAATTAAAACAGAAAATTAAAACAGAAAATTAAAACAGAAAATTAAAACAGAAAATTAAAACAGAAAATTAAAACAGAAAATTAAAACAGAAAATTAAAACAGAAAAATAAAACAGAAAATTAAAACAGAAAATTAAAACAGAAAATTAAAACAGAAAATTAAAACAGAAAATTAAAACAGAAAATTAAAACAGAAAATTAAAACAGAAAATTAAAACAGAAAATTAAAACAGAAAATTAAAACAGAAAATTAAAACAGAAAATTAAAACAGAAAATTAAAACAGAAAATTAAAAC